TGGGAGAGCCCAACATCCGAGATTAGCAGGAATGAAGGTTGCAAACGTGGGCTCAAGGTTCCCAAACCCCCAAATTTGGCACTATATTGGGCAACAGTACTCCATCCCGACCCTGTGTGCCACATAGGGAGACTAGTAGGGCAAATATGTGGGGCCGAGGTTGATTAGCGATACGACGGGGAAGCGCAGCGTATGATGATAGGGGGGAGGGCAATGTATGAAATTGCATGCAAGGTTATAACTTTTAAGCACCAGTGGAAGCAACGGCCGCTCAGCATAGGGTAGGGATGGACGAACTAGAATTGAATTTAAAGTCAGCTGATATTGAAATCGAAGACAGACTGGTGGAGTAGGCGAGATGCCCGACAGGGCGTTCGTAACCCAAGTCTCGTCAAGTAGGGGTAGCAGGGGATGCGCCATTCCACGGACTCCTCGCGATATCATTATGTCCCTAACTCAACCTCATCCTCCATCCTGAGCAGTGAAGTACCCGCGTGTCTCACACGGCATTGGCCAGCCTCACACTTGTATATCATCTGGAAGGAGCGCGGGGTGCAGCTTTACTTTACTTTACTCAGCGCAGTTTTCTTGCTAGACGGCCAGGTTGCCTTAACATATGGGGGGCATTTCTAGCATCAAATGAAAAGGGAGTGTTCTCAAACTACTTTCAGTAGTCTTGCAAGACACCAGAGACCTTACAACAGGATATGGGAAAATGTGGCGAAAGTTGCAGAATGTCGCAAGAGCGGTCTGCTGCTTAACGAATTAAGATAGCGTTCTAAAGCCACTTTCATTGTTCTCACTAGGCATTAAAGATCCCGAGTGCAAATTTTCCAGCCGGTTGCAAAAAGTTGCAGAAGGTTGCAAGAGTGATTTACGGAAAAATAAAGCACCATAGAGCCCTCGAACCATTCCCATGTTCTTTGCTAAGCTAGAACCCAAAGCTAGAACGTCCCAAAGCAGCAATTTTAGAAAATATCGTAAAATTGCACAACAAACTTGCAAACAACGTGCTTACCCCGCTGCAACGCTGTACCAGTACTGCGTAGCTCCTATTCTGCGCAATAAAGTTTGTTATGTCTTTTGCCCTGACTCGATGCATCGAAATGTAACTTGACAGGTTATGGAAGGTTTAGAGATAATAGAGCAACGTTGGTTGGCGTCTGCAGCACAAAAATCAGGTTTTGTATTAAATGTGCAGCATCAAGGCATTTGCCGCTACGCCGGTTTGCGGTGAACACGGTTTTGGCGTGGTTGTGCGATTTCAGATTACGACTTGTTTGTTCACTCATTGTATCGCCGAGTGGTATCGTAGATACGTTTGTAGTGTTGCCTACATAGCGTACATAATAGGTAGAAATAAATCAGACGGATAGTGAATGACGAGCCGCACTTTCCATGCTCATGCCTTCCACTGTAATTGTTGCATATCTGACTTGTCTTGTCTTGTCGAGTCTTCATTTCAAACCATATTTACTGATCAAGGTATGCTATGGCTAAGGCTGCCAGTTCCTTAACTTTTGTTACGCTAGCATTGCAAGCATGGAAGCATTAAACAGCTAAAGAGCGTTCAATAAGCAAGTTTAATATAAGAAAGTCCTATTGAAAGGGAATTAAGGTGACTTCCTCACGATAACAGCATACGTAATATCTGTTAAATAAGCTGCATTATATGTGTATATGTGCATATTTCCAAAGTGCAACATTTTTAATGAATATCGCATATTCAACTGTTTTAAGGTCACCTTGATTCCTTTTTCATGCCTCCAATGCCTTACATTGCACAAGAGCACTGGGCAAGCGCCAAGCACGGGTGTACTTGGTGCTCCGTTTTCAAAATAAAAACAAATGCGCCCGCCAAAAAGGGAGGTGTTTTGGGGATCAGCACCTTATACTCAACCTTTTTTAAGAACACATGTTACTTATTCACATGCAAACCATTAAAAATGTAGACTGACATCGATATGACGCAATCACCCGTTATGAAGATTTTCACAAATCTGTGAGTTTTAACATTCTGAACCCAACCACGCTGCTCAGGTTGTTTCGCAAACGCTGTAGGGATAAGGCCGGAACAGGAACCGGCAAGCGATTTTCCATGAAGCAGTTCCCTTGGCTTCACGAAGGCCATCCACACAGGTCCTGTGAGATCAAGACGGCTGTTAAGGCATACCTTCACGGACACCATCAGCATTACGAAACCGCGGAGGTGCCCAGCCGGCTCGTTCACACACCGGTGTCGAGTGAGACCCAGGTAGGTGCTCCCTCAGATGGCGTCGAAGGACATGCAATGCCGTAAACGGCCACACTGGGTCATTTTGAACTCTAAATCATAGCTTTGGTTCTGGTTCTGTCAGGGGCGAGACTGCAGACCGCGACTGAGCCTTGCCGTCATTGCCATCACGCCAAAGTTTCAGCCTGAGGTTGTGTGGCTTCAGTGACCCGGCTCGGCCAACCGCGACTGTGACGGTCCTCTACCTTTGCGGCTGCTGGTCGCTCTTCCGAACCGTGTCCGCGGCGCAGAGCACAATATGCGAGATATTGTCTTGTAATACTATAAAGGTATTTGCACGCAAGCCGTTCCATCAGGCGAGCTTGATGCAGCATTGCAATATCGCCAGAGCTTTATTTAGTCTATTTAATTAACATGGGAACATGCAACTTGCAAAAAACTGAAGATAGCAGGTCAAAGGCATGTCCAGACTTAGTGGTCATGGCTTTGCCGCGGCACTAGATCCGAACATTTTGAAGAAGAGCACGAAACTTATATCATTTTTATCACACACACATGCATATGTATGAACGCATATATATATATATATATATATATATATATATATACACAAATATTCACATCAATATTCATATCCGTTTTGAGGATGGGTGTCAGATTTTAGCGGATAGGGCTGGTAAAAACATGGCACCGACCGCGCAGGGCACCCCTTCTGTGCGATATGAAAACCGCCCACCGCCTGTGGGCCAGATAAAAACCGCGGAGCGGCTAGTGTCGACTTTTAAAGACATGACTTCGCAAGCTTAACACTGGGGCCTTGGCCGTGCGAGGCGGAGGCACGCAAACTATGCTCAGTTTTGAATCTCAGCCCATTAAGGTCAACATTTATCTAAAATATTTGCCTTTCTTTGCAATGCTTTATTCAAGCTTACCATTATCACGCGCCCGGGTGGCCGGTTGGATATCCTCCGCTCGGGTGGGGTGTCAATTTGACCCCCTCCGAGATTTCAGGAACTAAGAAGGCTAAATATACCAAATTCACAGGGTACGTTGACCTGCACGTGAACTCACTTAGGCCATAGTTTAACCCTCCTAGGTCATGCCCTTCGGGTCAAATAAGGTCAAACAAGGTCAAACTCCAAGTCGGTCTTCAAAGAGTCCACAGAACCCAGACACCTGTCCTTAGCAAAAGGTCACATGCTCATTCAAGGTCAGTGACCTTGTTTACCCTTCGAAGATCATGGTGACCAAAACCATAGAAGACTGCTTTGAGTTTTGCATCTCAATAAAAGACAAAGACTGCACTAGGCAGTGTGTTCCTAAAAATAAAATGTTGACGTAGGTCATTTTAGGTCAGCGATCTTTCCTGACCTGCAAAAAGTCATGGAAGATGTCTTATGCGGTTCCTGTGATTAATAAATTATAAATCAGCACCAGAAACTAACCCAAGCAAAGTAATGAAACAGGTTGGTTTTTACCTTGGTCTGACCTTCTTATCTGGCCCTAGGCGAAAGAATTTGGTCAGTAAATTGTTGCGTTGCCTAAAAAGTATCTCAGAGATGCATGGTTTCGTCTAACACCCCGTTGTTCCATCAGACTGAACGATTCCCTAAAATCGACTTCTCTGAATCCAAGACCTGATTTCGACTTACCGTAGGTCAGCGGCATTACAATGTACATAACAAATTGTAGTAACCCACGATCCGCTATTCAAATGTCCACAGCTATGCAAAATTTGGCGTGGCTACGCCGCGCGGTTCGGAAATCATTCCGGGAAAACCCTGTGGGGAATCAAGTTGACCCCCACCCGAGCGCGCGTTATCTTAAATCATCCCAAATCGCTCGCTTCGTCAATTCAAATCGATGCGGTTCTCGCCACACTTACAGTGAAGCAATTTGCAAGCACTGTAGATCTTGGATTTGTTGCTGCAATATGGACTTTTCAATGCATTGTTGAGACCTATCCACATGGGCTCTCGAGGGGTTTTATTGCTGATGTTTTGTTATCACCTGGGTACGTCATGAAGGGTCCCGCTGCTGTCATGACATGGTTTGTATCACACCACACATGGCACATCACCCACCAGTAACTCGCTTTTGTCCAGGAGTGCGGCTCACTGTCAAAGCGATTCACTGTTCTCCATCGCCCATTTCTCGTTGCGTGGGTTTGCAGTCCGCGGCAACTGCGCATACGACAATGGCCCCCGGCAGTGGATGCATTACCGCACCGAAAACAGGCTCCCATCTGTAACGTTTTCCACTCAGCAGATGCGCAGACGTCATCGCCACAGCTAAATGGGCTGTCCTGAGTCAGTCAGACTTGGCAGAATATACTGCTGCAAAAGACAAGGGAAGGCGATCAGTTAAAGTTTAGGACCCCGGGATCTCGCTATTTCACACCATTCGTGCCACCACAAGACGGGGGATGGGGGGGGGATGGGGAGGGGCGGCGGTTTGGGAGGGCTGACGCAAGGCCCTAAACGTTTCTGAAGGAAGCAGTACAGCTTTGGGCATTTCGCCAAAAAAAAAAAAATCAGGAAAGAGATGTCATGAAAAGAGCCTCACCAAAAACACGGCGCTGAGCTCGCCAATGGCGGCTCTGTCCGCGCCATTGTGTTCAGGAGACAGACCCGGGAACTGTCGGGGAACTCCCTTGTCGCCCCCGTCCTTGAATAATAAAAGATCACCAGCGGCGGCAGCCACGCTGCAAACGACATGCCGCGGCAGATCGGATAGAGTCGAAGTCGGCGGCCCGGATACGGGATTCTCCAAGACGGCGGCGAGGCGGTCAGTTCACTTACACGGCCGGCACCGAGCGGTGGGCCGCTTGCGCGACGGCGGAGCCCGCACCATGGCCCTCATGCTCCAGCTGGGCGCGCTGTTGCTGGCGTCTGCAGGCTGGTTTGCGCAAGCAAACAGCGGCATTGTTCAAGGTGAGAATGGTTTCACTCGGTGTTCCCATCGTGATAGGGAATCACTGCGGTGTTCCTTCGTGACGTCCCCCGGCAACACTGCGGTGTTCCCTTCGCGACGTCCTCCGGCAACACTGCGGTGTTCCCTTCGTGATGTTCCCCCGGCAACACTGCGGTGTTCCCATCGTGATGTCCCTCCGGCAACACTGCGGTGTTCCCTTCGTGACGTCCCCCGGCAACACTGCGGTGTTCCCTTCGTGATGTCCCCCCGGCAACACTGCGGTGTTCCCATCGTGATGTCCTTCCGGCAACACTGCCGTGCTCCCTTCGTGACATCTCCCGGCAACACTGCGGTGCTCCCTTCGTGACATCTCCCGGCAACACTGTGGTGTTCCCTTCGTGACATCCCCTGGCAACACTCCGGTGTTCCCATCGCAATGTCCCTCCGGCAACACTGTGGCGTTCCCTTCGTGACATCCCCCGGCAACACTGTGGTGTTTCCTTCGTGACATCCCCCGGCAACACTGTGGTGTTCTCTTCGTGACATCCTCCGGCAACACTGCGGTGTTCCCTTCGTGACATCCCCGGCATCACTGCGGTGTTCCCTTCGTGACATCCGCCGGCAACACTGCGGTGTTCCCTTCGTGACATCCCCCGGCATCACTGCGGTGTTCCCTTCGTGACATCCCCCGGCAACACTGTGGTGTTCCCTTCGTGACATCCCCTGGCAACACTGCGGTGTTCCCTTCGTGACATCCCCGGCATCACTGCGGTGTTCCCTTCGTGACATCCGCCGGCAACACTGCGGTGTTCCCTTCGTGACGTCCCACCGGCAACACTGCGCGCTACGAATAGTTTAGTCCGCTGTTCGGCAACGACCTCAGGACTTCGCGGCTGGAATCGCTGCTTAAAACGCAATGAGAGGGGGCGTGCACCATCATGCTTATTGCAGGGCACCAACAGTGTAGTGGTTAATCTGCGTGTCTGGGGAGCAAGGGGCACGGCTTTGATTTCCTATGGCGCCCGCCCCTCTTAGTAGGGTGAGAGGCAAACGATGCCAGCTAAATGCGCCGTTGGTGGCTGGGTATTTGGATTAGAACCCTTTCGACCAGTGGTGACCATTTCAGGGCTATGATATGAAGGAGAATGGATTATGGTGGGGCAGGGCTACACACGCCTGGGACCCAACAGCCAAGACTAAGCCCGCGCAGTGACCCTTCTGTGGAGTGCGCACGAAACACCCGGACGGGAACCCCACATTGGGCCCCTTGGCCCCGCTCGTGGATGGTGCATGCAGCCTGCCTCGGACCAGCCAGGGGGGCGTCGCGAGGATGCAGGATTAAGCCAAAAAGAGGATAGAAGGGAGGATCTGAGTGCCTCGTAAAGCACCAACGACTCTCTACTTATCCCGTGGTTAAGCCGAGGGCTATGGCCACTCCGATTCTGAGGGACTGTTGGGGGTCTTCACCGTCTACTTGTGTAATCTCTCTGCGGCTTTAGCATGTCGGTCTCCGTTCGCGGCCAACAGACCTGCACCCTGACCGCAGACTGGCACGGATCCATGTTATGTAATTGAGGCTTGGACCCAAACCAAAACTAACCCAGTGTGTGGGTGAACGATTCTGGCGGCTGCCGAGCCACGCAGCATATCACGCAACGAGACGAACTGGAAACCTCATTTACACAGGACATGCATACAGTAGTGCAGACAGGGGGCCACATGGACCGCATCCTGTGATCCGGTAAAATATAGGTGGGATGATATCAGCTTTTAACTTTTAGTAGCCATGCTTAACTTTGCGATCGCCTTTCCGTTTCTATCCTTTTATTGAGGGCTGTTCTCAGCTACTATTTTCAATTCCGCCTGATGACTTTTTCTGATTTGTTCCGCCCAAGTTTTTATGATCTGGTAGTTATGATACCTGACACCGTTTCCGTGACCCACCATTCTCTTGCATGTATGGTGATCAAGCGAAAGCATTGTCATATAGGTGGAACATTATTAAATGCTGGTGTGAGACCTTCAAACTGCCGTGAGGACCGAAGAATAGTGGTGGGACAAAGAGGATGTGTTTGGATTATAATGGACGAAATCCTGACGCCATCTTGTGGTATAAAGTCGAGCAACTCTTAACTTTGCCAAACTGACCTATTCCGCTGTTTTAAATAAAGGGGCGTTCTAGAACGTCAGACTTAAAACGTGCACCTTAGAAAACGTTGCGCACCTTTTATTTAATAGTTCAAAAATTTCATTTCGCCCGAATTTGGCGGCCATCCTGTGGGGGCATGACCCGGTTGCCCCTCCCCCCCTCCCCCACCCACGATCCAGCCTTGTCGTTAGTTGCGAAAATCGGGAGTTAAATGGGTTGAATCCTGGGAAACATTGATTTTTGCGGGAAAATAAAGGCAGTTTTCGAAATTTTCACCTCCCTCAGTTCCTCGCCCCTCGACTGATGCAACTACCCCTTTGCATGCATTAGTGTCATTCGTGAACGTTCACCTGCACAAAGCTAGAATATGTCGCAGCATTTTCTGGACACGCGCACCACTTCTTATGACTCCATAACAGTGAACATGTTGTTGTGCAAGTGGCTCCAAATAAACACATGACCTCACTCCGATTCCTGTCTTGGTGTCTCCCGACACCTGTACAACAGTCCTGTACGCTTGCCCGCTCACACGTGTCTCCTGACACCTGCCTCCCGCTCACGTGTGTCTCCTGACACCTGCCTCCCGCTCACGTGTGTCTCCTGACACCTGCCTGCCCGCTCACACGTGTCTCCTGACACCTGCCTCCCGCTCACGTGTGTCTCCTGACACCTGCCTCCCGCTCACGTGTGTCTCCTGACACCTGCCTGCCCGCTCACACGTGTCTCCTGACACCTGCCTCCCGCTCACGTGTGTCTCCTGACACCTGCCTGCCCGCTCACACGTGTCTCCCGACACCTGCCTGCCCGCTCACACGTGTCTCCCGACACCTGCCTGCCCGCTCACACGTGACTCCTGACACCTGCCTGCCGTGTCTCACGCGCGTGCCTGACCCGGCACGCCCGTCTGCCCAGGTCTGTATCCCGACTACTGCATCACACCGGACTCGTTCAAGGGCGACTGCCGGCCGGCCGGTTCATGCGCCGGCGGCCCCAGCCCCGGCTGTCCCGGCACCCGCGTCTGCTGTGTACGTGTCACCTCGCGGCTGGGTCCTGTCCAAACGCTGGCGGCGCCGTCCGCCGCCGCCACCTCTACGCCGGCGGCGACCTCCGCGCCGTCCGCCGCCGTCACCTCTGCGCCGAACACGCTCCCGTCGCCCACACGACGCACTCTCCTGGACCCGCCGTTCGGTACGTGCGTGCTGCGGCACGGGCTGGGCCGGACCGCGGTCACTGTGTGGTGTGCAAACGTAAGGCGACTGGTAGTGCTAGTTAATAATAAATCAGCGTAAATATTTGTTTTACTAATACGTATTATTCACAGCTGTGGCTTGGGCTGTACATAATCTTCATGTAATTTACCTTGAAATGCAATTTCGGGCCGGGCAGAGGGGTGCTTAATGAATTAGTGCAACGCATGACAGGCACGGTCCCATCCGGCTGATGCCTGCGTGACAACTTTTGCCTTGGCCCATGGAATATTAGTGTGCGTCAGAGACACAACTGCTGTTCACTTCACAGCGGTAGTGTAATAGAGCGCGTTAATGTGAACATGTCTAACCTCTCTGGCGTCCCCTTCGCTGGTATGGCAGAGTGCGGAGGGGAGAAGGCACCAGGTAGTCGCACGCGGCGCGAAGTGAGGGAATCGACGCAGGCGCCGCAAACGGATATCTTCGCAGCTACCGGGAGCGCACCCAAGCCGTCTGTGATAACGGGAATGGTAAGGAATGGTTTGGTTAATGCCTTTTGGACCCCCCCCCCCCCCGCCCCAGTAGCACTGACAGAACACTCTTAGTTATGGTGTTCTTACATACACGGCAGGATGAAAATAAAAATGTTAAGCGGCCATGACAACCTACCCTTCGTGGCTTTTGGCCAGTGACAGCTCCTAAACCGCAGCTGGAACCCGCAGCCCCATCTTATCGGGGCAAGTTACCTGCAGTAGCCAACATAGGCGGGCCCAAGTGCGCCTCGTGGCGGCAGCCCCGGCGGAGCGCCCGCACCCAGTCCAGAGGTTTCCTTGCGCGAGCTTAGTCTCGGTATCGTAGAACCCCCAGATAGCCGCAGCATTACCCGGCACTCACCTCTGCTCATCTATCTAAAGCTCTGCAATGGTCGCTTCTGGCGGAAAAGGCTTCAATCCCACCCGAACCAAAAATAAAAGCACACTTCAACTCCTTTGGCCCCAAAATTAGCCATTTGTATTCAAGAATGGTCCGTGGATATGACGCCCCCGCTCGATATCAAGAGCAAAGCTGATGGTTCTGTTCGCGTCTGCTCATCCTCTCGTGTCTCAGGGTCAGTGCTCAAACGCTCGAGACTCGACTGTATCATCGACCAAGTGCGTGTACCCGATTTCCAGACAGTGATCACTCCAAGCGAGCCGAGCTCTCGGCCGCGACCCCCTCTGAACGACGTGCTGGGTCGACTGAACGGCACGCGGCGCCACCGTCGCTCCCCTCAGTCCGCCGCCGAAGAGGCCGGCTTCGAGGCCATCTGGCAAGAGTACCTGGCGAATGTGGCGACGGGTGCGGCCGCGCCCGGCGTCACGCGCGCCGAGCTGCTGGCAGCGTTCCGGGAGGTGCTGGCGGAGACGCCACCGTCGCGCTTCACCTGTGGCGCCGTGCTCATCTCGTCGCGCCACATGCTGACGGCGGCGCACTGCCTTATGGCCGGCACGCCCGAGGTGGTGCGGCTCGGCGACCGCGACCTGGCGTCGGCGGAGGACGGCGCGCCGGCCGAGTACCGCGTGCTGCGCGTCACACCGCACCCCGACTACCAGTCGCCGGCCGTGTACCACGACCTGGCCCTGCTACACTTGGACCGCGACGTGGCGTTCGGGGAATTCGTGCGCCCCTTCTGTCTGTATGACGGTGTCAGGAGCCTGGAGAACATCACCACGCACGTGTCCGGCTGGGGCGCCACCGAGTTCGGTGAGGCTCTGGGGCGTCCCGTTTCTGGGGCGTTCTGGGGCTGGCTAGGACGCTCTATGCTGGGTCGGGGCCCTCTGTGGCTGGCTGGGTTGGCCGGGACGCTCTGGTTCGGGGCGGGACGGTCTGGGGCGGACCGGGGCGCTTTGGGGCTAACCGAGACGCCCCGGGGCGAGCCAAGGCGCTCCGGAGCGGGCCTGAAGCTGAACAGAGTGCCACGTGCGCATTTGCTGACGGATGCAGGCAGTTGTGGGCGGCTTATTTGTGAATCCGGACTTCGGAAAACGAGCGGTGTGGGTGGCATCCTTGGTGCAGGGATGGCAGTTGCTAGTGGGCACTTTCTATCTGCTTTTTAATTTTGTGCAGGCTCTTTTCCATGGAATTTGTTTGCACCGAAACAAGGCACGTGATGAAAACATTGAACATAACCACACCTTAGTATAAGGTCGCTACAGGCGTCGTCTCAGTAGTGTGGAACGTTGGCTACAACCTTAACACGCGCCCGGGTGGCTGGCTGGATACCCTTCGCTCGGGTGGGGGTTGGGTCAATTTGACCCCCCCCCCCCCCCGAGAGATCGAGAACTGAGGGAGCTAGAAACACCAAATTCACAGGTTATGTTGACCTGTACGTGAACTCACTTAGGTCAAAGTTTGGGGTTCCTTGGTCATGACTTTCGGGTCAAATGAGGTCAAACAAGGTAAAATTCTAGGTTCGTCGCCAGTGTCCCCGAACCCAGATAACTGTTTCTAAGCAAAAGGTTGCATGCTCATTTAAGGTCAGTGACCTTGTTTAACCTTTTGAAAGTCGTGGTCACCAACACCATACAAGACTGCCCTGAGTTTTGCATTTCAATAAGCGACAAAGTTTACGCTTGACAGTATTATCTTAAAAACCACATGTTGACCGGGGTCACTTTGGGTCAATGACCTATTCTGACCTCCAAGAAGTCCATTGAAGATGTAGAGTGCGGTTCCTGCTATCATTAACTTGGAAATGAGCGCCAGAAGCTATCCCATAGAGCAAGTCCTACAGTAATAAGATAGGTTGGTATTGACCTTGGTCTGACCCTCATACCTGACCTTATGTCAATGCAGTTTGCTCATTCAGTTGTTGTATTGGCTAAGAAAGCATTGCAGAGATGTTTGGCTTCCTCTAACACTCCGTTGTTGCATCAGATTGAACGATTCCCTAGAAATTGACTTCACTGAGACCGTGGCCCGGCTTTGACCTGCCACAGGTCAGTGACCTTACAAGGTACATCCAACTTTTTACCAAGCAATCCGCTATTCAATTGTCTACAGCCATGCAAAATTTGGCGCGGCTACGCCGGGCCGTTCGGAAACCATTCTGGATAAACCTTCGGGGGGTCAATTTGAACTCCCACCCGAGCGCATGTCAAATGTCCGTGTAAGTTAGGCCCGCTGCCTATTGACCCAAAATAAGACCTTGAACTTCACAGACCAATCGGCCCAGCTTAAAAAACCTGTCACAGTATCGGAACCGCTGCTCAGGCATCCTCTTACCTCCCCTCTGCAGACGGCCGCCGCAGCCAAGCGCCGTGTGCGGCCACCAGGCCATCCGGTCAACGCTACCTCGTGACCGGCGCCGTGCCCCGGCAGGTGGCGACTTCAGCGACGTGCTACAGGGCGGCAACCTGACGGTGTGGTCGCACGACCGCTGCCAGCGGGCGTACGCCGACCAACCGGGCAGCGGACGCCTGCTGCCCGACGGCATCACGGACGGCCTGCTGTGTGCCGGCGGCGCCGAGCAGGACGCCTGCCAGGGCGACTCCGGCGGGCCCATGACCGTGCTGACGGAGCGCGGCACGCGCCTGGCCGGAATTGTGTCGGCAGGCGTCGGCTGCGCCACGCGCGGGGTACCCGGGTTGTATACGAGCGTGGCGCACTACGTCGACTGGATCGATAGCGTCGTATTCGGGGGTCATGCGTAGACTAGGGGTGGACTAGGGCGGACAGGCACTGGGGCTTTGGTGGAGGGCGCGGGAAGACGGAGCTGGTGCTGGGCGTAAGGTGTCAGCAAATATGGCACCAAGATGCCAGCTGTGCTGCGTGACTGCCACGCTTGTTTTGTTGTGCTGCGACATTGCCAGACCTTGAGCGCCGTTCGTTCGTTTAGCCTTCGACAAAGGTGTCCATTGTTCAACAGGCCTCATGTTGACGTGCCCCGCGTGTCCACGGCTTTTCCATGTATTAGTTCCGTCCAAAGCAGCTGTGTAATCGATGTCCACTAGGAGCGCCAACGGTGGACAGGACAAAGACGAGCTCAATCTCAACCAAACGGCATTAGTACAACTGGTGGAACGAGCAAGCTCAATCAAAAGGCATGAAAGCAATTGGCAACGTAAACAACCTCATCTAAGCGACACCAATACAACTACTGAGAAGCTTTCTGTTTCGAAGTACGTGGACCATGGACCGTTTCCATCGTGTTTTTCAGTCACCGTGGATGAAGGACTGTTTAAAAAAAGATCGATGAAGCCAATGCTCCTTATATCGCATGGAATATATGCCGCGTCACTTATCTGACAAGATATCACGTCTACGTGGGTTTTAGCGGATACCATGGTCACTGCACACGATTTTGTGCACGTTCAGCACCAGTGAATCAAATGATGAAGGGTTGTCTGACTTTTCAGCGTCGTCAGAAGCTCCTGGTTATATCGTACCTCGTCTGGCGGTACGACCAAAACCTGCCTTTCAAAAACTTTCGCACCCTCGCCGCTAAGTTTTCAGCACTGCTGGGGTGCGCGAATGCCCTGAGAACCCCAGTCCAGTGTCGTGTCAGTGCCCTGGATTTGACGTAGCGACAGCTGCCACATGGATAATACGTCGCGCACACGGGTGTCCTCACCACACAGCACGGCCAACCTCTTGCGTCTTCGCTTTGTCATCCAGTGTGCAGGGCAAAGGTATGCAACGACGAATAAGTTCTGTAGATGCATTTGCGTGGGAACAGACACAAGTAGGCCAGCCCAGGCCGGTTTTCGAAGACGTGGAGCATTTGCCCGCAGCAATGCAACGTATACTCATTATGCAATTTCTGGCGGATATCAAAACCAGTAGTGTCGTTCATCTCCGTCCACCGGCTGCTATACCGAGCACTTCTTGTCCACGACAGAGAGCCGCAGGATAGCTCCTCCGTCGATTGGTGGGAACTCGCACAGACCACCTCTGTCCGACGCTCGGAGAACATCGGGTTCCCATTGTCCACCACTTGGAACAGCGACGCAGTACTTCTGTTCAACAGCCAAGACCACCACAAAACAATTCTGTCCGCCCTTGGCGCCGGCTGAGCACTAGTGTCCACCATTGGGAGCGGTAACCGAGTACTTTTGACGCACGGCATTCACCAGATCGTGGTGGATGACAAACGTGAATCGCAGGTGGCCAATCTGAAACAGGACGAGCACGCTCAAGAGAACTCGAAAGTGAGAAGAGCGGCAGCGACGAATAACTAGTGGTGCGTGAGCGTAAAACCCGTGGACACGATAATATGGTCTACAAACACAAGAGAACTCCACATTAATCGATGATATACGACATAGTGTGACCAATGACGGGATGAATGGAATGAATTGTACAAGACTAAAAAGACAAAGTTTTATGTTTCACCGCACGCAAAGTCGAGTGGCAACTTTACGACGGAAAATAATTAGAAATGGAGGCATCAGATTGTCAAGGTCAACACGATGCTTCGCCCGCCTCAAAAAACAACCGAAGGTTACAGCTTGCTCGGACGCTGACCGTACCCCTCACTGACTCGTAAGCGCGTCGTGCACCGCCGCGAGCTTGGACGGATTTCATGCATCCCCCAGCGAGCGTGGCGATCTCCCCCGCTGCACCACCCATGCTTCGATACCTGGCCGCTATCGTATGTTGCGGTTCTAACCGCAACATCGCACCGATTTCTCAACGCCTCGGAGGAAATGCTAGTGACCGCTCTGCCAGGCGAGGAGGAAACTCCAACACCCCGAAGCAGCACGCCGAACCAGAACGCCCGTCACGCTGGCGTTTCTTCTGCCCCACCACGGGTGCCAGACCCACCTCCACCACCGAGTTGTCGTTCAGCTTGTGCTTGGCTCCCATCAGTACGGGTTTCCCATCGACGAAGACAGGCCGCTTGCCGGCGTTGGCGATGAAGAACTCGCCCGAGTTGCGCAGCTTGATGACGGCCTGGCGTCGCGAGACCTTCCAGGCGGGGCCCTCCAGCGCCAGATCGATGTCCACCGCACAGTCACGCGTGGTCCGGCCGAGCGTGATCTGAGGGCGGGGCAGGATGCGTCAGGCGGACGGGGAAGGACGCGTCAGGCGGGCGGGAAGAACGCGCCAGGCGGGCGGGGAGCATGCGTCAGGCGGGCGGGCAGGGGTCGCGGCGGCGTGCAGCACCGCGAGGTCATCATTACACGCGGTACTAGAGGACACTGCGGAACGGCGGACGGTATCTGGTCACGTGACAATGGGACCAAGGAAACGGTCAAACGGGGGTCGGAACTGTTGTCACCGCTACCCAGCTCAAAATGAGCACTGCGCTACCGTTGCTACTCAACTCCAGCTCATCACCGTGTTAAAATTTGCTTAAATCGAGTCTACTTTGTTCATCGCATCACACCGGACCTTCGGAACAGACTGACATCTGGACATAGAACATCAACATCACGTGGTTGGAGAGCGGCTGGCAGTCGGGTGAACGCCGTCCAAACAGGCCGATCCACCTCCCCACGGGCACCATCGACCCCGCGGCCGCCGGCGCGTGCGCACCTCTCCCGATCGCATCAGGTAGCGCACAGTGCGTCCACGCAGGATGGCCAGGGTGCCGTTGTCGAACTCTGGCGGCGAGACGCCGGTCACGCCGTCGACGAGCACCTGCCAGCGGCGCGTCTCCGTCTCCAGCCGGCGTATCTCCCGCTTGGCACGCCTGGCGGGGCCAGACCGCCGTCAGGCGGCGGGCTCGGCCCGGCCGGGCGACGCCGCCGCCCGCACCGCTCAAAAACAGCCATCAGGGGACTTTGGACACGGATTGGTAAAATGCATCGGTAGAGGCACCAGCGCAAATAACAGTGCCGGAAAAGCGATCTTACGCCACAGAATACGGTTGTGCCGGCTACACTAATCGTAAAAAGTAAATTACAAAAACGTGTAGGCAAGTGATTTCAAGGATGCTGTTAATGCCTAAATCCACAAAAAGAGCATGACATGCACACGGCGACAGCAGCACCGAATCGGAGAACGCCAATGCAACTGAGATGAGAAGGCGATTGGTGATATCAGCCATATGCCGTCCCCGACATCGTCGCCGTCGCCACCGCCGCGTCCCCGCACCGGTCGGCGAGGTGCAGCTCGCGCTCCAGCAGCTCGTCCGGCGGCGTCTCCAACAGGGCCAGGTCGTCCATGGCATCCTCGGCGTCCGAGAAGCGGCCGGCGCCGTCCTTGTCGGCCGGCTGGGCTGCAGAGAGACGGCCAGGTCAGCACGGCGGCACTGCGCAGCGGGCCACGCCGCCGGTGCAGGACCGACTGAGGGCGCGGTGTTCCGGTGGTGTTGCGGCAACAGCGGCAGGCGGCGCTGATTTGTGAGAGATCATCAACGACTGCGCCGACGACGGCCGCACGTGAACCAGTCGGCAGCGACCTATTTTATATCCTCTTTGCAGCAGTTACATCCAATCAAGTTGGTACAACGGAGAGGTCAATAAGATGACACTACGACTGTTGCACTAGTATGAGTGTGACAAGGACCAGCATGTTCAAATGAACATTAGAATAAATCGTTCAAAGGTGGGGAAATTACCAGATATGGGGATCGTCGTACCGCTTTCGCTCGTGGCGTTTCTAGTCTCCAGATACCAGTGAAGCTCAGCTCCCTGCCGTCACCCCCACCACCAAACGTCGACGAACTCGAGCAAACCTACGCACGGAACACTCCAAGCCCTCTTGGTGCCCCTCCACCGAGTACAGCCGTCGCCGTTTCCCCACGGATGACTCTTGTGGACATGACGTGCCGGCGGGGACGGCCCCGTTGACGTGACCCCCGCCGGGGATGACCCGTGACCATCCCAGCCAGGCAAGCGCCGGCCTCCACCCACCGGACTGGTCGCCCAGCAGCTGGTACAGCTTAAGCTTCTCCCAGTGTTCGCGCAGCCGCTTGGGTGTGCGGCTGCTGTGGAACGTCTGCGGGTGGGCGGCCAGCAGGGTCTGCAGCTCTTCCGGAGACGGTGGCGCCGTCTGTCGATCCGGCGCCGCTCAGTCAACGGGGCTCCGGGAGGTGTCAGAGACACAGAGGGGGAGGCGGGGGGGGGGGGGGGGGGGCTTATGTGCCGGCCGGCGGCCGTGCAGCGACAGGGGCGGTCGAACAGCACGGCACAGCAGGTTCGAACGACATCGCATCGTGATTCTGCGCTGGAGACGGATCATGTCCGTGCGTGACGCGCGGTGGCGGACGTTGTGTGAGGCTGCACATTCGGGGCTGTTAGGTGTGGGGCATCGGCTTACCGATTTGATGGCTTTGATGAGATCCTCCTCAGCCTGCGAGTACAGTGCGCGACTCTCCACCTCAGCAATCTGTGACACAAGTATCAGCAATCATCCAGCCAACGCCACGCCGCAAACGCTCAACAATGGGAAGCACAGCATGCCAATGCTGTATTTCAGTGTGCATTGCATGACAGTGCATCATGACAGCCATGTAAACCACGCACAATGTAACAAAAGCATGCGTGCCGAACGGGGCAGACAACTACCAAAAATATTTCTCCCAGTTGACCGCTTACGTAGCACCTAGATCGACAAAAGCAGAAGTGTCAAAGTTATTCACGACTAGCCAATTCCCAGCACATGCCATTGATGCACCTAAAGGAAGTGGACCTGAGTGACGCCACAGATTCAAAAGAAAACCTAGACGATTCTCTTCCTGTTCAACACATTTTGACCCCCTCCCCCTCTCCCCTCCAGCCCGTCCGACAGGTGGGTGGCGGCGGCCCGCCGGGGGCGCGGAGATCCCGTCGGAGGGGGCGGGGCGGGGGGGGGGGGGGGTAGGCGGCCGGAGGACCGACCTGTTCCGGGTGCAGGTTCCTCATGGCGGTCGCGGCCAGCCGTGACACGGTCGAGTCGTATAGCAGCGCGTACCACCGCTCCTGGATCTCCGACAGCGTGAACTTACATGAGAACTTGACGCCGAGGTGCACCAGCGTGAGGTCACAAGCCTGGCGGCGCGCGCGGCCCAGTCAAGCACCAGTGGCAGTGCCTGGCCGGCGGCAGCTCACCACTTCCCGGACATATCCAGCAGCAACAGGCGCCCCGGCGCCATTAGCAGCCAGCAACCAGAGCACGCCCGACAGGCAGACAGCCAGTGCACGACGGGAGTCTGACGTTGGCGAAAGTGCCCGTCGATGCAGTTCATCTCAAAGCTCGGTCTCAGTGCCACGTCGCAACTTAGGGTAGGGTAGTTTGGGTCGCTAGCAGACTGGTCTTTAAGTCACACTGGCCAAACACGGATGTCTTTGGTTGTTTCAAATCGATGGCAATAGTCTGCCCCGACAAACTCTAACTGCATTGCAGCCGATGATCCGTTAGACTTCTCGGAGGTCGGACCTAGCGAAAAGACCTAGCGGACCTAGCGAACAGGGAGGCGCTGAAACTGTCTACACTTCGCCTCTGAACATCGGTGCGGTATTCGTAAGTCTAAGTTTAGGTTGGTGAAGTCCGATTTCTGCACGTCAAGGATTATGTACGATAAACTTAAGTTTATGAATGGACTGCACACGTGTTGGAAATGCTCGAATATGTATTGGTACAATGCAGTACCGAGTCGATTTCTTGGTGACCGGGCTGCAGTAAGTTCGGCCTGTTACAAACGCATCATGCTTCCTAGTGCACTATGCAGTTTATATTTTTTCTCGGTTGTTCTTAGTACCATATGTATTCTTATAAGCATACTTCAATTTCGGTGTGTGGTGGTAAATGCGGCTATGGTTGCTTTTGTTCAAATGGTTTTGTCTCGCCCACCTGCGCCACAGCACCAAAGTCCTTATTGGGCTCAATGTCCGAAACTTAATTTGTTTGCCATCTCTTTGACGAACAAACCTGACAATGAAGCAAAACCAGAGAGCGAGCCGAACTGGTTCCACACTTAAGGTGCATTAAAGCAATGGATTGTCGGCGCGTCACACCTGCTGCACGGCGGTGAAGGGGTGCCCGGACCCGGCCGGTGGGTCCCACCTGCTACACGGCGCTGATGGCTGCCCGGACCCGGCCGGTGCGTCCCACCTGCTACACGGCGGTGATAGGGTGTCCGGACCCGGCCGGTGGGTCCCACCTGCTACACGGCGGTGAAGGGGTGCCCGGACCCGGCCGGTGGGTCCCACCTGCTACACGGCGCTGATAGGGTGCACGGACCCGGCCGGTGCGTCACACCTGCTACACGGCGGTAATGGGGTGCCCGGATCCGGCCGGTGGGTCCCACGCGCTGCACGGCGGTGATGGGGCGCCCGGATCCGGCCGGTGCGTCCCACCTGCTGCACGGCGCTGATGAGCGCCAAGTCGTCCGTCGGCTTCCAGCGGCCGATGTCCTTAACTGCGGCGGCGGCAGCGCGCGAGCGGCGGCTGCGGCGTGACGCGGCGCGCGCCGGCCGTCGTCGCAGTGGCTCGTTCACGCCGACCGAGCTCAGGCTCAGCTGATAGTCCACGCTCTGTGCTGCGGAAGGGAGAGGCCGGGGGCGTGAGCCGCCACTGGCGGAGTCGTCACGGAGCGGGCGAGGGCGGACATGCCCACGGGCTTGCATAGTTTCGAGCCGCCGGGTTGCGGTGGTTCACAATAGTCTGCGCGTACGTTTGGAGACCAGTGATGACGCACCGACTTCTCCAAAAGGAGCCTTCTGGGCGTCGACTTATCAATAGTGGTATGTTAACGGTTTTACCGTGCCTTTCATACTTACTTCTCGCTGCTTTCGGCGTAGGAAGTGGCGGCAAAGAGATGCCGGACTCTACGATCTCATCGTCGAACTTTTTCCTTTTAATGGATCTCGTAGAACTGCAAATTTCAGGAAGGCGTGAAGCGAACAACCGTGGGCACGAAAAAGAAACAGTAGAGCACGCAAACGTATCACCTTTGTTTATGCCCTGCTTTGTCTATTTGTGACTGCGCCATCATTCTTCTTCCCCCCCCCCCCCCCCTGGTCCTCCTGGGCTGCAAGTTGTGGACAATGGCGGATCCAGGATTTCATCAAGGGTGACACGCAACATTGTGGGGCCCTTAGTTTGCGGCCCCCTCCAAAAAACCTTGTATTTTGGCCAACATGTTTTAAGAATTCTATATCAGCTGTTTTTATATGGGAACCAAAAACCAGGCGTACTACGCATGCACGCGCATAGAGCTTGTTTATTTTCTCTAAATCATGGTGAATGCTGTCAAGCATTTCGGAAAAAAATAATGGTAAAGTTAACTAAAGTTGACTGCTAGACACCATCACATCCAATCACAAACTTGAATGCTAGCTTATTTACGGCTAGCCGGCTGGTCGATGTGGCCAGCTGATGGCCAATGACTCACGCAGAGTTTTTGCTTTGTTTGTTATGAAAGAGTACAAAATATCCTAGGATTCAAAAATGCATTAGGAATGTAATGCTTTAATAAAATATGTGGCACGAATTCAATAACCGACGAAAATTACAAAGCCGACGTCGGCGGCGCGTAAAATCATGTTCCAAAAATGGCGCGTAAAATTAATCGGCGCATATTCGATTGCTGTCTTAAGGCCAAGGCGTCAAGAGCAGAAACCGTCCTTTAGTCACGATCTCGTTCCCATGAGGTCATTTAGTCAGGCCCGCACACACGAGCAGCCAATACTTCTGACTTCGGAACAACTTACAATCACGAATGCTTGAGGGCCCCGGCCGATAAAACTTAGGTCCCCGTAAACGGCGTAGACCCCCCCCCCCCCCCATAATACAGAAAACCCTACACCAATACCAGCCATACCTGAGCGATCGAGGGTGCCGCTACAGGCCGATTGTCTCTCTCAGCATTATAGGGTCTTTAGAGCGAGCGAAAAGAACCCAACACCAACGTCGTGGGCCCCTCAACGACCGAGAGAGCCGCGGCCGGCTACCATATAGGGCTCCGGTTAGCACACAGGGCCCCCTGAGCAAGCGAAGTCCACCCAAGACCAGCATTCATGAATTAATGCTCCCCGTGCCATCAAGAGTGCCCTCGCAGTTTGACAGCGGGGGCCTTGATAGGAGTGAAGGGAACTCCGCAAATGTATGCGTGCGTGCGTGCGTGCGTGTGTGTGTGAATGGTACTCTGCAAACTCGGTGTGTGTCTGAGCAGGTTAACAGATGGGGGCCCTGGCAAGGCCATACATAAGGCCCTACATTCAAATGTGAATTACCCCAGTCACAGTGTAGAGGTCTCCCCAGCGATTGGGTGCGCCCGAGCAACTTATCAGATGGAGTTCCCGACCAGAGCGTAGGGCCCTCCAAGTAACTAGGATGAACCCAAGACACAATGTGGAGGGCCCCCGAACAATCGAGTGCGCCCAACCCGGTTAAAAAATCGACCTCCGACAAGAGCGTCGGAAAGCAAGTGACATGGAATTGAATTGGAAGGGCCGCAGACCACTGTTAAGACCCATAAGCATATCGCGAGTTTGTCCGTAGGTTAACAGGCCTCATCAGCGACCGTGAATTCCTCGGCAGGTAAGCATATGGGGCCCCGGCTATAGCACGAAGAGCCTCTCAGGCGAGTGGGAAAAAATTCGTGGAAGGCACCTGCCCGAAAAGTATCCAGGCACACTGACAGAAAGAGCCCCAACAGCTCAGGGCCCTCCAAGCGAATGCAAAGAAATCAACGGCGTCGTGAACGGTTCATGGATGATTAGATTGACCCTGTACGTAGACATGTAGGAAACCGGGAGCACCGTAGGACTTCTGGACAGCATAATGAACCTTAAAATATCCCAATCACCACCCTTCAATCAACGAAAAATGACTTTTGTCTGTCTGTGGACCCCTCAATTTTGCTTGTGACAATAATTGGCCGCCTGGAGGCCCAAAGACGTCGAAATTTATGCGTTTTGTTTTTTAAAAAACCTGCGTTTGTTTCGGCCGTCTATGCATGGGCCCCTTCCAGACCCAAGGGAGACCATCGCCACACGTGTCCCCACCCCTCCTCAGGCTGGTCATTCCTACATACTCGTCACACTCGTCGGGTACGTCGGGCTATGTGCTCATATTATGAACGGGCCCAACGGCGAGCCACACACGACGTAGCATGGTCGCTCGGCTACACAACTTCCCGCAGCAGCAAGCACTGTTTGCGTGATACGGAGATGTTCCGCACCTGCGCCGGCCGACGCCGCCGCCATCGTGCACCAACGAGCCGCCAGAGGCGCTGCTATCGGTGCGCTGGCGCACGGCTGGCGGACGGCGCGCGCCGCTCAGCCCGCCACCCGAGGGCTTGCCGCCGGGCGCGCGTGGCGGCGCCGCCGCTAGCATGGCTGGGCCCGCCGCCGTCCTGCCGGCGCAGAGGAGGTCGACTGAGTCACGGTGGAGACCGACACAAGCGGATGAGTGGGCATAGCTGCAGGGGCAGGTTGGTCGGGCACGGGATGCCCGCCCTTCCACGGCAGTCACGGGCCTTCAACTCACCACATGCTACATTTTTGGTCATGTATGTGCCCATCATGTACATAGTACCACAAAGGATACAACATACACACACACACAGAGGTGATGAAGCATGGCATGCCCTGAGCTTTGGCATGCTGTCAGTGTCCACTTTGGGGTGGCATCTTTTCAGGTCAGTCCTATCCAACATCATCAACTACCAATATGACTATGGAATGATATGAAATTATCCCAGTGGGTATGTGTTAACATTGATGGTCCTGATGGAAGTGTTGGAGTACAAGAATGTCAATCAATATTTCTGTGGTGCTAGTTAAGGGAGTGTTTCACATTTGTGTGGGGTTTGCAGCCAAAACAGCCATCTTGACAACTATTTTGTGTGGTTCACAGCCCTGCCCATCTTTAGAGTAAAGCCATTCTCATTTTTGAGCTACATGCCCATGAATATGTGCAGGCTACTTCAGGAAGAGTATTTCAAGGTCACACATGCACTCATGACACCATGGCACAATTCAAATCTCACCATTTCATCACTCATGCAACAATCAAGGAGCCAACAACAAAAGAAGTGTCCAGTTGTTCACATCTGGTGTTTGTGAGCATGACCTCCAGATAAAACATCTATTCATTGGCTCTCAATCAATATTGTGCAATCTATGCTATCAAACAAGGACATATTGATGAGCATATTGATTTAACAGAGAAACTGTGTTGCCTTTAATAGCCTTTTCCACTCAAAAGTATACCAATAGTTATGTGACCCTACTCCATCAAATCTGATGCCTGCTCCAGCATGTTCAAATGTGGAACATTCCTTCCAGCATGGTACCTCAAAACAAGCTGTTGTCATTGAAAACAATGAATTGCTGGGATAGTATATATATATCTCCAGAACTTAGTGCTTAAATAGTGCCAAAACTGGTGCAAAATAATGGTACACTTTTACAAACTGACATCTTTAACCATACCATACTAGCTTATCTACAATACTCTTACTTTCCCAAACATAACACTTGAGTGCCAAAAAGTACATTCCAAGTACCAATGCCACCTCCTGTGATCAGATCAGCTATCTCACAAGCAGCAGCTTAGAACCAATTTCTGTGCAACCCATAGAATAATGCCCCCATAAGAGTAAATAACACTAACAATTCAAAATCATCAATACAGCACATGGTTTGATACAAAAGAATGCTCAACATGACTTTGCCACAGATAAGACTATCTAAACTGGATATCAGCAAATATCAGCATCTAAGCATAACTTACTTAAAAACAAACAATTTATGAGCAAACCCAGCTCCTCAACAACATATATGTCTAAGAATCTACCCAGGCACAGCTGAAGAGTCTACATCGACAGCAGATCCCTGGATTTCATCCATATCTTGAAAACCGAGGCCCTTGCCACCTCTTGAAATTCAACCTGAAATCAGCAAAGGGAATTTGCTAGTTATTACATGAAATGATTGGCATTGCCACATACACATAAGCCTTCCAAACATAGTCAGGATCAATTGTAAAAATATTACATTGTGCGCCATAAATATTTGCATCAGTGGATGCACACGACATCTAGGAATACTGCTTAGCATCCTAACCTGGAAGGCATCGTGACTTGTTGTTGTGCATTGGTGTTCTCGGCCGCGTCAACCTCAATAGGCATCGTAATTTAAAACGGCGTGAATTTATTGAATCTGGTGTAACAAAATAATATAATTTAAGTACCAGGAGATCCGCAAGACATTCCTTGACATCTGCAAAACATTTCTTCTGCCTCCATGTACCAATTCACCACAATCAACAGCATCTTACCTAGGACACACTACACCAACCGACCGATCCACGGCAACATATAAATTCAAGGGATATACTAAACGAGAGTGATACCAACTAAATAGCTAACAAAACTTGTTTACAACGCTGCGCTCCGAATCCATGGGACAGACGGCCATTAAATCTTCACTCGTCGATGCGCCAAAGTCAATATCCTCTTTTCTGTGGACTAAGTAACCTAAAAATTTAGCGCCCCGTCAATCCTTCATTTATCTAAGATATCCAACCAATGATTATCATGTTGATCCCCGCGATTTCTACCGTCGTCACCCCTACGGAATTTAACACGAGGTTAAAGGTCAAGGTCACATAAAATGCAGCTGGGGCCTTGGCAGGGTGGCACAAGATCGACAATGGGGCCCCCCTCAACAAGAGCAACAACGCCAGATATAACACATTTATTATTGAGGACATGCTTCATGCATATATATATATATATATATATATATATATATATATATATATATATATATATATATATATATATATATATATATATATATATATATATATAGCACATTGCTACCTTCCTCAACTGGGATAGAGGCCAGACGCTACCAAGATATCAATTCTGCCTTAAGTTTATAAGTAAATGATATGTAAGTAATTTGACATAATTACGTGATAGATCACTGCATGAAATAAATCCAAAACGCCCTTCATTTCGGTATAGTTCCGTGAATTCTTTTTAAACCAATAGAACTCAGAAACTTTGTTAAAATTTGTAGCTTGGCTGTACAGAAATAACCAGGCATTTACAAATGTAGATAAAACATCAATATGGGTCCAACAATTTGTACTAACATGGCCAGGCCATGTTTGTCAGCACACATGCAGCATTTAATCCGAATTGGTTAGCGGTACACATTGTGTAACGTAGTTTTAAGCATGCGCGCCCGCATCTTAGCGGGAAAAAACTCGACGCCAGGAGTTGTAATGTCCTTCGGCCACGTAGCGTTGGCCTCCCAGATATGTCCGTGAAGATAGAGATTTATTCAGCGATTTTTACATCGACGAGTTCCGATTTCTCTGAAAAATGGCTTCAGGGTCAATTGTGGCATGAGAACTCAAAAAATGACTGCTATTTTGCAATATCATGCGACCTTCCAGGTCAAAAGCTGGGTCAACGGACGGGGAACTCGATATCACCCAAAATTTACCGGCCAATTTTCAACTTGAAAATGTCAGAATATTCAACACGGAAAGAACTAGGCGTCCGTCCAAAAGTCCTGACCTCTTAAGGCCACCCTTCAAGGCCAAACGTCGGCTCAAAGGACCGGTAACTCCATATCACCCAAAAAT